GTGTGCGTGTGCGTGTGTGTGTGCACAGGGCGGTGTGAGAGGGATGCGCGGACGAGGGAAGAGGAATGCGCAGAAGACGCGCAGACAAGCGGGGAGGGAAACAAACGAAGCAGCAGACAGAGACATCAACACACATCAACACATCAACACACACACACATCAACATACACACACACACACATACACACACACACACACAAAAAAGCAGTCTCTGTGGCTGTGGTCCCACCTGGAGCGCCGTGCACTGTTCGAGGGAGAGGGGCAGGTCTCTGAGCTGGTTGACGCGGCAGTCAAGCTTGACCAGCCGCTGCAGCTTGCCAATGCCTGCAGGCAACGACCGCAGCCGGTTGTGGCTCACGTCCAGGTGGTTGCTACAGGTGGGGAGTTGTGGTGGTGGTCGTGGTGGTGAGTTGAAGATGAGTGGCGAGGCATGCGAGGTGAGGTGGGAACAGAAGAGGGCAAAACAGGAACGGTTTGAAGCGAGGTGAAGTATTGTAGGCATTACGGTTGAAGAATGAGTAGACGAACGAAGCAATCGCCACACACCCACACACCCACACACCCACACAGACACACAGACACACAGACACACCCACACCCACACACACACACACACACACCCACACCCACACACACACACACACACACACACACACACAGAGACGCACACACAATCAACCCAAGGCAGCGGCTTACAGGCAAGGGAGCGAGCAGATGGCATCGGGGAGGTCTGTGAGCTGGTTGTTGGAGAGGTTTGCAAAATGGAGAAAGGCAAACTTTGAGATGGCAGCGGGAACATGCCCCAGGCTGCGCGCCTCCAAATCCAGCGACGTTACCGATGCGCACGCTGTTGCTGGCGGCAGACCAGCCAGTGCCAGCGCATGCTGTGTTTCCTCATCGTTCATGGAGCCATCGCCACCACGCCGGGCGCTCTCACGCGCGCTGTCCGGCGTCCCTTCATCCCCATCATCACCATCACCACCATCATCACCGCTGCTTGTGGTTGTTGCATCTTCGGCTGCATCCCCCACACCATGACCGCCGTCGCCATCGTCGTCATCATTGCCATGCTGCTGCTGTTGTAGCTGCTGCTGTTGTAGCTGCTGCTGTTGTTGTAGCTGCTGCTGTTGTTGTAGCTGCTGCTGTTGTGGCTGCTGCTGTTGCTGCTGCTGTTGTGGCTGCTGCTGTTGCTGCTGCTGTTGCTGCTTCTGCTGCTGCTGCTGCTGCTGTTGTGGCTGCTGCTGCTGCTGTTGCTGTTCGTGGTGGTGGTGGTGGTGGTGGCTGTCGGTCGTAGCACTGTTGCCAGCAATATCGCCAGCATCAGCAACAGCTGTGGCCAGGGCGGTGGTTTCGTGAGCCAATGGGACGTTCCCAAGGTCATTGTTCACCTCGTGGACGTCGTGCGACTGGTGGTCCATCGCCTGATGCGCATCTTCATTGTCGCCGCCACTGCTGATGTTGGGAACATGGATGGCGCTGTGGGCAGCGTGAGATGTGGTTGAAGCAGAAGCCGTGGTGTGGTGTTCGACAGGCATTGCCGGGTGTGTCGCAGGACCGGCCTGTGCTGGGTGTTGTTCAACAGCACCACGAACAGCAGGTGCTTCGGCAACAAGCACGGGGTGTTCCCTATGATGGGTGGGGCCGGTGTCTCTAATGCTAACACCGTCTTCACAGGCAACGTCCATTACATCTGCGTTTTGATGTTCACCAACAACACCATCACCACCACCAGCATCAGCGCGCTCAACACCGGCCACATGAATTTGTCCAACGTCATCGCCAACGTCTTCCATATCCATCACAGTTACATCAACCATGGTGACATCATCAGCATCCTCAGCATCACTGTCATCGTCGCCCTCTTCCTCCTCATCTCGAAGCGTCTGCCACATTTCCGCCTCGTCCTCCACCTCTTCCTCTTCAGCAATCCGCATCTGCCTCATTGCCGCCTCCTCCTGCTCCACGGTGACAGACGCCGCCGCGGTTGTTGTTGCCGTTGTCCCGCTTGCGTCCTGTGGGTGTGACACCGCGGCACGTTCCGAGTCGTCAGTGTCGCTCGCATGGCTCATGTTGGGGGTGTTGCTGTTCACCTGCGTCGCTCGCGGCACGTCTTGCTGTAGCTGTTGTAGCTGCTGTAGCTGTGGTAGCTGCTGCAGCTGTTGTTGGGGGTGGTCCACGGGCCCGATGAGCATGGTGTGGCGCAATAGCTGCCGAAGTTGCGACCTTGCCCGCTGTCTTTGTTCATCCGGTGACAGCGAGAAGAAGGGGTCCATCCTTCCTCAACAACAACTGCTGGCGGGAAATGGGAGGTGTTTGATGATGTGAGGGGTGTGCACCTTTTGTTTTGTCTCCCTCTCCTGGCTGCTGGCCCGTGTCCTCCCTTCTCCAATGCCTGCTGTGCTGATGCCGTGGCGTGTGTGGGTGGCTGGGGATGATGCAGGGTGACGGCACGGCGGAAGCGTTGTTGTGTGTGCGGCGTTGTGGCGTTGCCTTTCTTCTT